CTGTTCTTTTAGCGGCCCTCCTTCCATCATTTTACAATCCTAACTCAATCATATACTTTTAATTTTCACATTTCCCTGAAAAATTATTCAATGCGGTCGTTGTTCGCCTAATCGCAAGTATTTCAAACCCGTCATACAAATGTCGAACTATCATGTAATGGTCATTAGGGTTGCCACATTCATCCTTTGATATTATTATGTACTGTTGAGATACTTATAAATGAATTAAATTTACCCAACTCATAAGTTTAAGCTTTTGGATTGAGTGGTGGTTCATTCATCCTGAAGACCTACGACCTAATTTTAGGTAAGAAGATACTAGTTGGAAAATCATGCATGCTATTTTGGTAGCAATTAAAAACAAATTACCACACAAAAAAAATTGTAGTATAGTAGGATGTCATATGTGTGTGCTTTTTTGCAAACATGCATCAACATACTGTTCTACTTTAATTTTCTGTTGGGTTCTATATACAAAAACACCCAAAAATATATATAATTTCTCTTTTTTTTTCCTGCAAATTAGAAGACATATATAGAGAGGGGGAGAGGGATGGGTATTATTCTGCCAAGTTGGGTTCTTTCAGATATAATAATAATATTGATAATTTGGGTTCTTTTTTGTTTTTCAGAAAAAAGAAAGAAAAGCTGGCAACACAAGAGAATGGAAGAAGGTAGAATAAACTATAAAGTGAGACTAAATAAAAATGAGAATATTTGGGTATGAGGAGGGGTGAGTTATCTCTAAGTTGATCACTATTAAAAATAATTGACAGTTCGATCATTATATTTTTTTAAAAGAATCGTCTGTTTTTTATTTCTTTGATCTCTTTTAATTGTCAAACATTTAAGTGCTCACGTGAAATTAATGTGATGGATGTGACAAAAATTGAACCAAATATAAGTGTCTTTATCGATTGGGAAATAGGTCTTCATTGGTCAGTTTGGTCTTCACTGGGTCGGGTCGGGAATCTCTCTCTCTCTCTCAAGTTGTTAGTGTGATTGGAAAGATGTCCATGGAAATGGGTGACAGGCAAAAGAAAGAAGAGAGTGGCAGTGAGAGAGAATTAGAGCAATCAAAGGAAAGGAAAAGGGCACAGAAATCCATGGCCATGCCCTATACCACTTTCTTTCTGCCCTACACTGACCCACACGCTTACGCTCTTCTCTTCTCTCTTCTCTTTTATACCTATCCCTTTTACTTTCTTTCTTTAGGGTTACATTCAAATTTCCCTCTCTTTCTCTCTCTCTCTCTCTCTCTCTCTCTCCTCTTCATGCACCTGCTTCTCTAGCACCAACTCCAACTTCCCTTTTCATATGTATTCCCTTACTAACGCTTTCAAATGGTTTGATTCGATTCAGTTAGGTTGGTTTACTATGAGTTTCGTGCTGAAACTTATTGGCTTCTCATCATGTTATCCAAAGACTTTTATAGATTGTGTTAAATAAATTATACATATATTTGATATCCGTGAGTATCCAAGTCAGCCTACGCGCATCTTGACTAATCTCACGGAGCAACCGCCTGATTTTATAATATTTGGTGCCGGGAAACACATAAGAATTATTAATTCCTAAGGTAGGTGGTCATTATGGGATTTAAACTTATTACGTCTTAATTAACCCTAACCCCTTTGCACCAATGAACCACCCATGATAGTTGTTAAATAAATTATATTGCATTTTCCATCCAAGATTGTTGCTTTAAAAAAAAAAAAAGAAGAAGAGAGAATATGTCGACTTTAAAACATGTTAAATCACTAATGAACCCAAAAGTGCGCTTAAGTTAATAAATTAGGGTAGGTTAATCCTTTATAGATGAATTTTTTTTTAAAGTAATATATGTTGCATGTCTTCTAAGTGAAGAGTATATGTTCTCTTCTCCTTGAAGTCGAAATATTTTAAATGGTCGAGAAATAACTTTATCTTTTAGATGCATTTGACATTAAAAAGCATAAATTAAGTTTTATATTTTCAAATATAACATAAAGTTTGAAATTTTATAAAAATAACGTAATTTTAATTCAAGATGCGGGGTGAGAATATATGTCTTAACTAGAGTTAAAGTCAGGTTTAAGTTCCCAAATCAATCTCCAATTTACCTTCAACATAAAACCCATCGAGAAAAGTCACATTTATACTATATTTTTAAAAAGAAATGAAAAGTGAATACATATTTGAAAGAAAGGTAAAAGATGAGATGAAACCATTTGAAAGAAAAGAAAAGGCAAAGATGATACTAAAACTAAAAGCCAAAAATTTCTCCTTTTTTAAAATTAAACTAATTACTATTATCTGAAGTAAACCACGTTTCAGAATTGATTACTTAATAATTTAAATTATGGTCGATCTTCCTACGTTTAACGAGAAGATATTATTATAAATAAATCCATTGAACGAAAACTAGCAATCAGCAAAAGATATCCAATATCTCGATTTCTTTAATTGTAAGGCTTACTTAAATTTATTTCTTTCTTTCTTTTTATAAAAATAAATAAATAAATTTATTTGCCGACGAAATTGAATTTGTTGTGTTTAAATTATTACCCAATTACTATTTAATTATTAGTAATAAATGATAATTGCAAAGGAACAAAGAAGAAAAAACATTGGCCCAACAAAAAGGAGGGGAAAGTAAGAATTCAGGTTATCAAGTCAACCGTGCGATGCGTCGTACATTGACTTGTCCACTCACCTTGCTGGAATCATACGTTTCTTAGCCTCAGTTCGCATCACTCATCTTCAACCCAATTCTAAAACGACATGTCGGCTCTGCTGCATGCCAGATACACTGGAATTTCCAACAAGTAGATACTAGGTTAAAAAAGAAAATACTTTTGGTCTTTCATTAAAATAAAGATTTAATCCATACAGTTTGATGGATAATAATTTATTCTTTATACTTTCAATAACTTAATAGTTCAATGAGTTAAAGGTAGCAATTTAATCCTTATTTTGTTAAATTGAAATAATATTTATTATATATGTAGATCGATAAATTGACGAGGGATCAGGTATTCTTATAAATTACAAAAACTAAATCATTATATGATAAAATCGACATTTTTTACGATCGGGATTAAATCGTTTCAAATTCTAAATTACAAAGACTAAATTGTTATATATTAAAGTTAAAATACTAAATTGTTAAAAATATAGACTAAATCGTGATTTCAATGAAAATATAAAAGACCAAATTTGTTTTTTTAATCTTTATGCTACTTCTATTTATTGTCACACCATCATTTATGGAATACTAGGTGAGTAGTATTAAAAAGTTATTTATAAGGAGCCAAAGCGAGTCTAACTCAATGATAATTGACACGTACTTCCAACCAAGACGTTGTGAATTCGAATCCCCTCACCAAACACGTTGTACTAAAAAAAAAAGTTATTTGTAATGAAAATTAGTGTAAAGAAAGAGAATAAATATGGGAATACTAATTTTTTCTTTCCCATCTTAATTACAACCATCTCTTCATTCAAATTGAGGATGAATATCGGTTCACTAGGTTCATATTCGTCTTTTCAAGTTGAGGTTGGTCTCACACAAATTAAAACAAGAAATTTGTAATTTACAGATCAATTTGACTGCTAATATTCTTCCACCTCCATGAACAAGCAGAGCTCACTCCTTCGATGTGTATGATAAAAGAACGAAAGAAAGAAATTCAACAATATGTGAAGACAATAGGAAAAAAAGAACCTGGTCAACTTTCAACGTTGCCGATTGCAGAAGGCGGAGGCAGCAATAGTTGGGTCTGAGATTGAGCCTCAGCCTCTTTCTGCCGCTCCATGAACCTGTTTATTTGGTCAAGCAATTGTGTTGCTTTTCGCTTACCTCTGTCTGTCCCATTTTCTGCCAAATCTATAAGCAAATTAATCACTCCAAGCTCGGTTGCCTCCACGAGATGTCGCTTGTCTGCCGCGCAGAGATGAACCAGAACTGCAGCTGCATTCTCTCTGTTCCTAGGGGATGCAGCAGCGATGAAATTGATTAAAACGGGGACAGCTTCAGCAGCTCCGATGGCAGCCCGCGCTTCGGAATTGCTGGCCAGTATGGCTAGAATTGCCAGGGCCTCATCTACCATGCCTATTCTAGATTCTGTCAGCAGCTGCATCAGTATGGAAACCACACCACCTCTTACTGCCTTTACCTTGTTCCCTTGGAAGAAACACAAGTTGAAAAGAGCGGTTGCGGCGTCCTTCTTCCCCCTTTGAGTACCTTCACTGAGCAGTGTGATGAGTGGTGGAATGGCTCCCGACGCGCCAATCGTTACTTTATATTCGTCCACGACAGAGAGGCTGAAAAGGGTT